TAGATGAGGGGCAGGTGGACAGCAAGACAATGAAAGATAAAGTGGCAGGGTTATATGAGAACAATGTTAATTATAAAGATTGCAGAGTACAATGACTCTTCTGACAGCACTGAAGACCTTACTAAAAGAAAATGATAGGCTCATGGCAATCTAATTCTAACTTAACAGATTCTCCGAATGGTTGACAACTCCCGTGGCAACTTTAAAGGAGTCTCTTATTTCCAGGAACTGTGGGGCAGACCCATCTGAAAATTAGGCTCAGGATCTGATTATTTACAGGCCTTTGAAGAGCTTCATAGGAGAAGAGTGGATTTTGGACATTCTGTGTCAAAGTCAGGGCTCCTATGAGAAAAGGGTGGGACCGTGAGACCTGGGATAGAAACATTTGGGTGGATAAACCTAAAACTTGTGAACCTCCAAATACTCTGAGTCCTCCTTAATTGGTAGAAGCAGACCTTTCCCCCTTGCCAGAGTAGACTAACTTCTCCCTGCCTGGAAACAGAGTAACTGTTTCACTTGAAACATACACTTCACAAGATGACATTTGTTCTGCCCACAACCCTCCCTCAACACCCCTTATTGCCTCAAGGCCAATAATTAAAGTCAGATGTAAGAGCATCTTGTGTTAACTAGGCGCCAACCAGGAGACAAAAACTACACCAGTTATTTTAATAAACAGAATTGAATATAAAGAACTGTTAGCCAGGTACTGGTAAACGAGGCAGGCAAAAAGGGAAAACAAGGCAGGTAAAAAGGGAATCAAGGAGGTGGCAATTGTGGGAAGCAGCTAGCACTTCTATGTCAGGGAAGCAAAGGGAACAGGTGAAAATTATTAAAACTTATAAATTTGGAGGAGGGGCTTTGTGGACCTGAAACTCAGATGTCTGTGGAGGGGATGCTGCTCTGCATGCAGTGCAGTTCCTGAGCTCAGAAAAGGGGTCCTATGGGAATGGGATCCAGACCTCTGAGTGAACACTCATTGGCTGGTGCTGGGGTCTCAGAGGGGAATGAAGTGTGCTAAGGTTGGTTCTATGAATGGTGGAAAAACTGCAAACTATAATCAAATGTTGCTACTAGAGTCAACTACTGCTGCCAGGGTTAATGTTAGGATTAGGATTAGGAATAGGAATATAAGAGGACAGGAACAGGAAACAAAAACAAAGGACAGGAAGCAATAGAAAGAAACAAGTCCCCTTTTCTTCCTCCAGCCTCCTAGTCGACACCATTCATTGACAGATACTGGCAGGGTTTCAGCTGGCAAAGGAGAAATTGGTTTGCAGAATCCCAGCTGCAGCAGAGTATAGTATAGTGGGCTTGAAGCTGAGAGGCAATGCTTCACAGCTGACATACAGTCTTGACAGGCAAGTGTAAGGTGTGCAGGAGTTTACTAATATGTACTGTCAGAATCCAGAATCGAGTGCATACTGCAACTGTTTGTCCAGAAGAATATAGAGTTGAATGGGATTTGATTCATTGGCATGGGTATACTTATGACTCAGAATTTAAGTTTTCACAAAAACAACTGGAGCTAGTCCTAATAGTTTGCTGGAGTGGCTCCTTGAAGCCTGATCCTGATGATGGTGTACAGAATATGAAGTGGAGACACCGGAACTTCCTCCCACAGTATTGAAGAAAAGGTAGCTCAGAGAAGCAAGAATACTAAAACGGGTTTATCATATGTGGCCTGAGAACCCACTATCTGAGTATGTTATGGGAGGACACAGAATATACTCCTTTTACTAACACAGCAACAGATGCACTAGTGAAGAGAAGCAGGCATCATTGCACACATTGGTGGTGGACATCCCCTGTAAGCTGGGTTGAAGATGAAAGATGCTGCCAATGACATGGACTCCCTAATATCAATAGGCAACATGAGATCCCTAGAATGGCAGAACTCAGGTTGGAAGCACTTAAACATTAGAGGCAAGGGGGACATAATTACTACCACAAACAGCAAGGCCATGGTGACAACCAGGGTGCCTTGACTCTTAACCTTCAGAGATCTATTGTGGTGGCTAAGAAATTAAAGTGTTCCTAGAGACAAGAGACATTAATTATCAATTAGCATGTGTATGTAATCAGGTGGTAAAGGCTGACATCAGCAACCACAATGGAAAAGCAGGCTCTTCATCCAGTTCCCAGATCTAAGGCATTCATAAACCCAGTGTCCATTGATTGAACAGGAGGACTCTACAATCCCACTACATATACATGCAGTAAACTTTCTTTAGTCCTTTACCAAAGAGACCTAGAGCCATTCGTCAGGATAAGTACACACTAGTATAGGACATATCCAAACTTCTCAAACGTTAGATATGAGGTCTGAGCTAATACACCAGGAAAACCTAAATCTGCCATAATTCTTTGGTTAGAATGGGACTTCTATCAGACAAGTGATAAATGGAGACTCTTAGGCTTGAGTCTTTTGTACTCTGGGACTGTTTTTCAAGTTCTTTATTGTATAAATGGAATAAACATTCTAAGCACCTGGCAGAACCTTCCTGTGGCTTTGAAACTTTTGTAACAGCTCATTACATTTATAGGCCTGTGCATTTTACTCTCTCTCTGTCATGATCCTGATGGTAAATGTATACAGTGATGTGAGACCATGAAAGCAGTAAGTCAGCTGGCCACAGGCAGGTACATTGAGATAAAAAAAAAACTGCTGGGCATGGTGGCACTTGCCTATAGTTCCAGCTAGGAGGCTGAGATGGGAGGATCACTTGAACCCAATAGTTTGAGTCCAGCCTGGACAACATAGCAAGACTCTATCTCTTAAAAAAATAAAAATAGGCCAGGCATGGTTGCTCACGCCGGTAATCCCAGCACTTTGGGAGGCTGAGACAGGCGGATCACAAGGTCAGGAGATCGAGACTATCCTGGCTAACGTGGTGAAACCCCGTCTCTACTAAAAATACAAAAAAATTAGCTGGGCATGGTGGTAGGCGCATGTAGTCCCAGTTACTTGGGAGGCTGAGGCAGGAGAATCGCTGGAACCCAGGAGGTGCAAGTTACAGTGAGCTGAGATCATGCCACTGCACTCCAGGCTGGGTGACAAAGTGAGACTCCATCTCAAATAAATAAATAAATGAATAAATAAATAAATAAATAAATAAAAATAAAAAGAGGCCAGTGTGGTGGCTCATACTTGTAATCCCAGCACTTTGAGAGGCCAAAGTGAGAGGATCACTTGAGGCCAGAAGTTTGAGACCAATCCAGGTCACACAGTGAAACTCCATCCCTACAAACCCCATCCCTACAAAATAATTTTAAAAGATATTAACTAGGCATGGTGGTAAGTGCCTGTAGTCCCAGCTACTGGGGAGGCTGAGACAGGAGCATCACTTGAGCCCAGGAGTTCAGGGCTGCAGTAAGCAATGATCACGCCACTGCACTCCAGCCTGGGTGACAGAGCAAGACCCTGTCTCTAAAAAAAAAAAAAAAAAGAAGGAGATGGTGAATGAAAACATCTAAAGGGGCAATTACAAGTTTGTTAGGTGGGAAAGAACAAAGATACTGAGACAGAGGGTATAGTGTGGACCAAGGCACAGAGGTATGAAAACTCATGGGTATTCTGTGAAGAATAAGAGCTAGCATTCTTTACAGTTCATCTTTTTTTTTTTTTTGAAACAGCCTCACACTGTTGCCCAGAGTGGCACAATCAGGCTCATTGCAGCCTCACCTCCTGGGTTCAGGTGATCCTCCCACCTCAGCCACCTGACTAGTTGGGACTACAGATGTGCACCACCACGCCTGGCTACTTTTCTTTCTTTTTGTAGAGACATGGTCTTGCTATATTGCCCAGGTTAGTCTTGAACTCCTGGACTCAAGTGAGCCTCCTGCCTCAGCTTTCTAAGGTGCTGGGATTACAGGCATAAACCACCACACCTGGCCTGAACATCTCCACAAGTAATGTTTTCCACGTAGAGCACTTCGTCATAGAATATGTCTCTCAATACAATGCTTTCCCACCAATATTTATATTGGAAAAATATTTATGTCCCCTAAACATAATAAATTCCTTAACAAAGTGATGAGGGGAGTCAATGGACAAAGTCTTTAGGTTTATTCCACATACAATTGGTAGCAAATCAGAGTTCACAGAAGACAGTCAGAAAGCCTCTGAATGTTAACTAAGGGGACGTGCAGCATGTTATACAGACAAAACAACATTATATTAACTGCTGAATGATCAGGAAGTTCTGTTTTAAATATCTTATATCTTTATTTTATTACAATTAAATAAATAAATACAAAATATTTTGTTTAAATTTTTACACCCTAACGTGTTTTTTTCTTATATACAGGCATTTTACTATGTTTTATGTTTTAAGAAGTTGGTTGAAAATTTTGGGTTGAGACATCATGCATTAACATTTTTCCCACTTAAAATAATGGGAATGAGGCACCTGGTTAATGTTTTCTTGCCAAGGATGTTACACGGACAATGCCTGTATTTCTGTATGTCAGGGGTTAGAGGGGGCATAGGTCGACCTCGAATGACCTGTGAAGGAGCCTGGACTTCAGACGGTAGTGAGTCAGAGGTTTTTATGCACAGCAGTGACACGTGCACATGTGTGTATGTTGTCAACAGGCTTGACATGACAAGTTCGAATTAAGTTTTATTTCAGTTAGTTGTAAACAGCCCTGATTGCTTTTAACTTCTCTGGGACCTGGCAGATTGGTGAGGGCTCATTATTGGGGATTTAGATGTGATAGTCCAGTCTTAAGTCCTTATTAACTATATTGGACCCTGATAAGGGTCCTTACAGTAGTTAAGCCTTACAACTCATTCCTGATAAGGAAGAAGGGAAAGGAGCTTTTTTGAGAGAATGTAAGTGTACAAGGGAAAGGATTTAGTCTGTTTTATTCACTGTTGAATCCTAGCCCCTAGAATAGTCCTAGAGCATACTGGAACTCAGTATCTGCCTAATTGAATCAAGTTGAGATTCAGTCTTTTTGCAAGTTGAGTTTCCTGTTTCCTGTCTTTTTCTAGAGCTGTCAGCACCGTGCTGTGCTCATCCATCTTCCTCCCTCACTGGCTGTGCTCCTGATCCTGGGGCTTGGTGCATGCACAAGTTGGGGACCTGGTCCATGGTCTTGACCACTATGCCTGGGCGTGTGCTGGGAGGAAAACCGTCTTCTTCCTCGGAAGGAGTTCCATTCTCCTGTGTGGGAATCTGTGTCTGACTGCTCTGGCCCTTCTCCCATGCCCAGAAAGAGCAAGAGCAATTGCTTCACACAGCATTGGAGCCCAACACTGCTGCAATCCATGCAGATAAAGCCCAGGCTAGGAGTACTAGCCTCTAAGGACCTCCAGCACAGGCCCACAGCTGCATCCCACCACACCCAGCAGAGAGCCCGTGATCAACACAGATTTGTTGAATGAAAGAAAGGGCAAATGGATGATACGGCTGAATATTGTTACTGGGTCTCTCCTTTGGGTCTATATCAGTTTTAAAACGTTTTAAAGAGCACAATTTCTGGATCCTTGAGAAGTTTTCTCAAATAGAAGAATCTCTAGTGATGCTACTGATAGTCGTAAGCAGGCAGATTGGAGTGTCGTGCGGCCTGGTGCTGCCCTGCCCCCGGGAATACGGAACTCAGTCTTTCTAATGGCACTGCCCTACCAGTGTCTCTCTGTTCCTTTTGTTATGGTGCAGGGTCAGGTGGGGTAAGAACCCCTGCAGGTCTTGGCAGAGAGGGTTTCTGGCTTCCTCTTTATACTGGCAATGAGGTTGATCTGTCAAATTCTTCTCACAGGCTGGGCAGGAACCTAGTTACAGGTTCCCACACTGCCCTTCTTCCAGGGGAAGCCTTACAACTCATTTTAATTCTACAATCAGTCTTGGAAAGCACATTCATTCATTTATTCCCCACCATTTACCCTGCACCATCCCAGGTTCTGGGGATACTGTAGAGAGAAAACCAGGTTCATCTCCTGCCTGTGTCCCTGCTCTCCACATCTCCACTAAGTCCTGCTAGATCACTTCCACCTCTGGTGTGCCTTGCAACCCTGAGACTTCTCCAGGGAAATGGGGATGCCCAGCCACACGTGCTCAGACCCTCCCTCCAAACTGGGTATGTACTCAACGAACTGGGCTAGCTTCCACTGCTAAGACAGAGGCCAGTAGCAAATTGAACAGTTGTCTATTTTTGTTTTATTGGAACACAACATAACATGAAATAAATATTAATTTAGCAAATTCATAACCATTTCATAAATATTATTAAGTTAACAGACATTTTACAGAATGTTAAGTTAAATAAGAAAAAAGTATATCAATTTTGCCTGGAGGAAAATACTTCAATGATTCTGATATCTGAAATATATTTTAAATATTTTATGCTTTCTGGCAAAGTGTCAGTATGCCTGAAATATTTGCTTTCCCTCTGAAGTTTAATTACATTGAAAATTAAGGCCTGACCCTTTGTTGGCCCTCATTCTCATTGCAGTAAAATGTCCTCCTCCAAAATCTTTGGCTGCAACAAACCAGTTTAGTCTCAACTTTCTATTATCCACTCGGTGTTCATTACACCAAGAAACTCTTGCAGGTAGTCTAGGAATTGGTTTACTCTCCGTCTTTCTTCTCCACACTTCTTCTGCGAAAAAAGAAAAATGACAATGGATATTATAGGAAACTGTCAATTCCATAGAAATAGGCACAGCCAGACAAACACGGTTTCCATTGAATGTGTGTAACTTACTTTTTGGCCGTCAATGTATTTCTTTATTAAAGACAAGTTTTTGAATAGTCTTTCCACAGTACCCCCTTGCAGAGTTTGACTCTCCAGTGTGCCTATTCCCTGAAAGATTTCTTCAGTGCACAGTTGGTGCTAAATGAGGAAAATTTTTAAAACACAAATAATCAAAACAATGTATAAAAATTTGGTCCATTGTCCATTCTGCAATGTATACATATTTCAAAACATCATATTGTACACCATAAATATATATGAATTTTAATTCATCAATTAAAAATAATTATTAAGACAATTTTGGTCCACAAAGTTAGGCTTTGTTTTGTGGTATTTACATGAGTTCCCTTCTCCAAAGAGTTTTTTGTTTGTTTTCTAGGCAACAAACCACCACATATTGAGATAAAATTTTCAAAAAGTAGATGAAGCTTATAAGATTACTGAGGAGTTTTATAAAGGATATAACTTAATTATGTAACTTGAAAAAAATGTTTTGGAAGTGTAATACATTATACATTAAACTCACATCAATGTGTTTCTACAGTTCCAGTTGGCAGTTTCATTCTATTTAGACTAATAAAATTATATATTTTACATTTTAATATGACCAGGACATATTCAAATACATACAATACCATCATATAGTCATAATTATTTAAGTATGCAGAAATTATTAATATAGGGCATTTGTTATATATTTTAATGTCTACTGATCATGGTTCTAAAAATATAATTCTGAGTTGCTAATACTTTCAGAAAGACATTAGAGTGAGAAAGACCCTAGTCAGAACCGCACGGAGACTAGCAGGCACCTCTCACTCAGTGCGGAATCCTTCTGGAAACAATCCCTGACACGATGCTCTTTGGGAGGCAAACTAATAACATGACCAAAGAGCCTAATCCACTTGTTTAAAGGATTCTACTTGATAAAAAGTCATTCCTCATATTTATAAGTACAGACATTCACAACCACCGATGTGAAAACATAGTATAGAAAATTAAAGAGTTCCAATGATAACTAATGATTTACAGCTTAAAATAGGAAATTTCCTTATTCATGCCATCATTTTATTGAATCATAATTTAACTTACATGTTTATGTACAGGAACAGGAATCCTCAGAGTCTGGAAAGGAAAGGAAATACAATCATTTTTACAGCACATCAGCATTCACAACTTTTAATGGAATGTTTGCTGGTGATGTAGTTATCACTCATGTACTAACATGCTCAGAATCTTATTATTTATAACAGATCTCTATATATAGTAAAGCAACCATCACAAATGATTACCTATGCACTTTAAAGACTGTAGGAACCATAAAGAAAATTACCTCATTGCCTATCAGCAGAGTTCGATGAGTAGAAAGCAGTGTCAAGGTCTCTTTCACCAATGCACTTGTGGGAATTTCTGTGGGGATGGCATACATGTAAGAAGCTCCAAGAGCTAGCAAACTCAAATGTAGAAGCATCCTCACGGTTCTGAAATGTTCTCCTTTTGCCTTTGGCAAAGAAAGTGCACAGTACAAGACTGCATCCCCAATCAATTTATTCTCTGTCTTTGAGGAAATGAATAATTTCTAACAATCAGATAGAGAATGCCTAATAATGGCATATTGTGAAACTAAGTGTTTCCAATGCCCTATATCTTAAAAAATAAATTTAGTTTTATCTTTTAATAATAAAAATCCCTATTTCCCCCCTTTAAAAACATTTTCTATTACAAAGAAAATCTTTAGGTTGATACGTCATTGCCCCACATTTGCATTTCTTAAAAATCAGAAGATTGAGTTCCTCTTAAAAGATGTGTGCAAAAAGGAGAAGTATAAGATAGACCACTAAACATAATTTTATGCTAAAATACATAAATATTGGGAATGTTTTTCAGATCGGCTATGTTCTACCATGACTGTGGCGAGATTAATCTGTCTTAATTGAAATTGAAAACATTGGTGGGAAGACAGTGATTAAAACGGAGACTGCCAAGCCTTGGCGGGTTTAAGTTCTGTTCACTGGGGTCTTGATTAGCATCCTTTCTGTTGCCAGTGACTAAAAACCTAACCCAAAGTGGTTGAAGATAAAGAGGGAAGGTATTGGCTCATAGAACCAAACAGTCCAGGAATGGAGGCTCTTTCACATTTTGATGGTTTCAGTGACTCTTCCTTGACTCCATTCTTGGGCAGCTTTCCTGTTGAGGTCTCAAGATGATGTCCAGACTCCTGGATCTGTACGTATTCTGTTCATGAGCAGCAGGAAAAAGCAAGCGGTGCTTTTCTGATTGTTTAATCAAAAGCTTTCAATTTCAGTCTCTTTCTGACAAGGGTCCCATGTTCGTCCTTGAACTGTGACCAGGGTGTGGAATAGACTAATTGGCTCTCCCTGGAGCTACCAGTGACCCTAACCTCACCTCAATTGCATAGCTGAGAAATGTGGGGTCCCAGTAATAAGAGGGACATAGATTCTGGGATGGCAACCAATAAATATCTGTCACAGACACATAATACATGGATGTGTCCTCTCCTTTATGTCCTATAAGGGTGGAGGTGTCCTTTCACACCTTGGGTGAGTCATGAAATTAGGGGAATCAGCCTTTGTTCCTTAGGCTCAGACCTGTAATCCTAGAAAGGCGCAAATGAGGCCCCCTCCTAGACCACACACTTCCTTTTTCCCTGGCCTGAGCACACATGATGGAGGTGTATGTGGCCCATTGTTTTTAATAGAGTGCTTCAGTGAGCATCCCAGAGTGGCTCTATGTTGGCAGCCTAGAAGCCTGACTTCAGGCCTGTCTTGAGCATCAAGAACAGATGGTACCAAACACAAACTGTTGCCCAGAACACTTTTCCAAAGCTAGGTGTAGTTGTGTATGAGAAGTAGAGGCAGCTGGGAGGTAGACACACCTTTCATACATATGCAATCCCAGCTCTGCACTGGAAAGATAAAGATGGTCTTGGATTTCAGTGGCAGCCTTCTTGTACCACGTTTGGTTTTGTTTGTGCTGAAGTTTTGGACTCTTGGTTAGACGTGTCTGATTTGCACACTTGAGAAATGTTTTCATTGAGAAATGTTTCCTTCAGACTGCAGAAGTTTGGCTCACTTCAGAAAATCCATCAGGAGTGAGGTAGGAATCACAATAGGCTTGGTCAAAGTGCTCTTAAAATGGTGTTCTCAGAAAAGAAGCTGAGTTCTGGCAGGAGCTTTCTTTTCCCAGAGAATACGAGAGAGTTCTCTCTGATTCCCCCTGACGCTTTTGTGTTACACTGAGGAAGTTAGGGCTTAGGTGAAAGTTTCAGAGGAATTGCCAAATAACTTGTTATTTTAGTACCTTAAACACACAAAGTTCTGAGTACTTAAATTCTATCATAGGAGGCTGGGCAAGGTGGCTCATGCCTGTAATCCCCGCACTTTGGGAGGCTGAAGCAGAAGGATTGCTTGAGCCCAGGAGTTTGAGACCATCCCGGGCAACATAGTGAGACTCCATCTCTACAAAAAATAAAAGATTAGGCTGAGCACAGTGGCTCATGCCTGTAATCCCAGCACTTTGGTAAGCCCAGGCAGTGGATCTCTTGAGCCCGGGAGTTCAAGACCAGTGAGTGAAATGGGCAGGGTGTAACACATCAAAGCTGGTGGGGGTCACATGAAACTACAGTGCGCATGATCTATCTAAAGGTGGCAGGTGCTTTGCTCAACTCCAGCTGATGGTTGCCAGGTGACACACCTGGGCTCCCATTACCAGATCATTCCGTTTTTCAAAGGAGGCTTTATAAAAATTAGCCAGGCGTGGTAGTGTGTGCCTGTAATCCCAGCTACTCAGGAGGCTGAGGCAGGAGAATTGCTTGAACTCAGGAGGCAGAAGTTGCAGTGAGCTGAGATTGCACCACTGCACTCCAGCGTGGGCAGCAGAGTGAGACTCTGTCTCAAACAAAACAAAAACAACAAAAATCAAAAACAAAAAACAAACAAAAAAACACAACAACAGTGACAAAAAGAAGCCTGAAATCCTGCTTATTATATATAATCTCTGGATTTTTCGAATGTTGGCAACTACATAATGCACCATTTTGCATCCTCTGTTTTACAGCAAAACTGTGGGTTCTTATTGGAAGGCTAGTTATAAAAAATATTTCTTATTCAAAATTGTATTTCTTTTAGAAACATTTAAGTGTGGCAAAATACACATAAATTTACTATCTTAACCATTTTTTAAGTGTACAGCTCAGTAGCCTTAAGTACATTGATAATGTTGTGTGACAAATCTCCAGGACTCTTTTCATCTTGCAAAACTGAAACTCTGTGCCCATTAACAACAGCTCCCAACCCCCGTCCCCCTTCTCCCAGCACCTTGCAACCACTCTTCTACTTTCTGTCTTTATGAATTTGATGACTTTAGGTACCTCATATACAGTACTTGGCTTTTTGTGACTGGTTTATATCATTTAGCATAATGTCTGTTCTCAAGATTCATTCATGTCGTAGCATGTGTCAATTTCCTTCCTTTTTGAGGCTGAGTAATATTTCATTGGATGTCTATACCATGTTTTATTTATCCATGGTCTGTCGATGGACACTAATGTTGCTTCCATCCTTTGGCTATTGTGAATAATGCTGCTATGAACATGGGTGTACAAAATTAAATTTCTTATAAAGTTTTCACGTCATTAACTTTTCCTCTGTAAGTCTGATCTCCCCTACCTGACTGTAAACTGTCTCGAAGTTGGACCTGTAAAATAATGTATTTGAAAGAGCTTTATTAATGCAAAACTCCAAATAAAAGTTAATGATTTTAATTTCCTGTGCCCAAGAATTCAAAATAATGTATGTAGCTACTCCACCCTCAAGGAGACGGAACATAACCCCCCTTCCTTAAGAGTGGGATACACAGAGTGACTTTTTTAAAAAGAGAACTGTATGGAAAGGGGAGAATAAAAGGAGTAATTTCACAGTGGAGAAACCTGATCAACACTACCTCAGCTAGGCGATGACAGTCAATGGTGCCCGTGAAACATCACGTTAACAGCATGTACCTTTGATTTGATGTGATAAGAATGGAACTTTATCTCTGTCATCTTCCTCCCCAAAACCAGTAACCTCTGCATAACCATGAAACAAACACTACACATACCCAAATGGAGACAAAATGCCTGACCAGTACTCCTTAAAACTGTTCAGGTCATCAAAAACAAGCACGGTCTGAGAAACTGACACAGCCAGAGGCCTCTAAGAGACATGATGACTACATACAATGTGGTATCATGGATGACACTCAGGAACAGAAAAAGGACAATGGGCACAACTAAGGGAATTGGAAAAAGCCTGGATTTTAGTAATGTACCAGTATTAGTTTCTTAGTTGTGACAATTGTACCATAGTAATGTTAACAACAGGGGAAACTGGGTGCGGGGCACACTGGAACTCTAACAGTCTTGAAACTTCTCTATAAATCTAAAACTACTTAAAATAAAAAGTGTATTAAAAAGAATACTGTGGCCGGGCGCGATGGCTCAGGTCTGTAACCCTGGCACTTTGGGAGGTCAAGGAGGGTGGATTGGTTGAGGTCAGGGGTTCAAGACCAGCCTGGCCAACATGGTGAAACCCTGTTTCTACTAAAATACAAAAATAAGCTGGGCTTGGTGGCAGGCACCTGTAAGCACAGCTACTCGGGAGGCTGAGGCAGGAGAATTGCTTGAACCCAGGAGGCAGAAGTTGCAGTGAGCCAAGATCGTGCCACTGCACTCTAGCCTGGGTGACAGAGCGAGATTCCATTTCAAAAAATAATAATAATAAATGACAATACTGCACATCGAAAAACTTAATGATTGTTTTTACCATTATTATTTAAAAGGCTTTGCTCAGGAGGCTAAGGCCCGAGGATCAATCGGGTCCAAGAGTTTAAGACTAGCCTGGGAAACATAGTGAGACCCTGTCTCAAAAAAAAAAAAAAAGACTTTGAATTCCATGAGTGTAATGCAGTTGGCACCTTTTTATTTCACCAGTAGACTATGAGCTCCTTGAGAATAAGGTTTTTATTGATCTCTTTATCCTTGAGGACTAGCCTATTGTAGACAGTGAAATAAAAATATGTTGAATAAATAACCAAATGAACAAGCAGGCACTTACAACAACTTTATTTTTTATTTATCTATTTATTTATTTATTTTTGAGACGGAGTCTTGCTCTGTCACCCAGGCTGGAGTGCCGTGGCTGGATCTCAGCTCACTGCAAGCTCCGCCTCCCGGGTTCACGCCATTCTCCTGCCTCAGCCTCCCGAGTAGCTGGGACTACAGGCGCTCGCCACCTCGCCCGGCTAATTTTTTGTATTTTTTAGTAGAGACGGGGTTTCACCGTGTTAGCCAGGATGGTCTCGATCTCCTGACCTCGTGATCCGCCCGTCTAGGCCTCCCAAAGTGCTGGGATTACAGGCTTGAGCCACTGCGCCTGGCCCAACAACTTTATTTATCTTTTGTTGTACTCGTTGAATTAATGTGAATACAGCAGGTCCTTGAATAACTTTTCTTAGTTCCACGTTATTATATTGTTGATAAGAAAAACAATCGCCTCCCAGCCAAAGCCATTGTCTATGTGGAGTTTGCACAACCTCCCACATCCCAAAGATGTGCGCACAAAGTGAACTGGCATGTCTACACAGTCCCAGTCTGTGAGTGTGTGTTTATGTGTGTGCATCTGTATGCTCTGCAATGGAATGACATCCTCTCCAGGACTGGTGCTCACCTTGTACCTTGAGCTACCGGGATAGACTCCTGCCACCTTCAAACTTCAACTGGAATAGTTGGGTAAATAATTATCTTACTTGTTTTTATGAATCTTTCCTAAATGTATGTATAGCCCATAATTGTTTCAATGTTTAATATTAGAAGTGTTTGGTCTTCATTTAGAAGTTTGATGACGTTTTTGTGACCAGAAATATGCCATAGGAACGTAACCTTTGTTCATATCAAATTACCTATGGTAAAATTGGTTTCGTTGTACATCCTTTCCCTTAAAGTCTGTTTCCAAGAACCTACCGATGACATTAAGTGAAGATTACTATACTGTGGAAACTCAAGAAGTCTTTCGTTTTTTCTTTTTCCTTTTTTGAGACAGAGTCTTGCTCTGTCACCCAGGTTACTAGAATACAGTGGTGTGATCTCGGCTCACTGCAACCTCCGCCTCCCAGGTTCAAGCGATTCTCCTGCCTCAGCTTCCTGAGTAGCTGGGATTACAGGCACCTGCCACCGCGCCTGGCTAACCTTCGTATTTTTAGTAGAGACGGGGTTTCACCATCTTGACCAGCTGGTCTCAAACTCCTGATCTCGTGATCTACCCACCTTGGCCTCCCAAAGTGCTGGGATTACAAGCATGAGCCACCGTGCCCAGCCTCAAGGAGTCTTTTACCTGCAGCTGGGAGCCTGAAGTAACAAAAACATCTTTGGCAGAACTCCTGGGCAAAAGAGAGCAAAGCTTTAAAGTTCAGCTACAGAGACTGAGGCGATGTGAACTACCATTTAGATTTTTAAAAATCCACATTATTTTAGGGAAATAGAAAGAAATAAGGAATTAGTGCTTTGATTTTTAAATAATTACTGGTTGGTAATTTTATAATTTAGAAAAAGGACATTGAATAATATTGAAAAGTTACACTGGTGGGTAACATCCATCCTTTTGCCCTAAAACTTTTATCTCTATTAGTGGGTAACACATTGGCAACATGTCTTTAAAACTGATAACTGTGGTTTTTACTGTGTAGTCCTTAGGTCAAATGACTTTTCCATGAACTGATTCTAATCAATTGAGAATGATACCCCAAAATTTTCATGGTGACTAAATGTAAATTGATAACATCTTTTTCTTCTTGACTCTATTCGAACTTCTATCCTTTCAATCTCCCTTTAATATGATTTTTTAATTGAATAAATAACATTATAGGAAAATAAACACAGAATTTCTTGGTATAGCATTTATCAGTTTTTAAAAAACATCTTCTAATCCTTACTAACACATAGACAGTTTTACAGAGTTTTAATCAGTGAATATATGCAGTCTGTATTTATCTTTTTTATTAGTATTTCTTTTTCACATATCTACAGTTTTCCTACTTATTATTTTAGTGATTACCTGCTATTAGATGAAACTGATGTACCACAGTTTCCATCACCATTTCCCAACTTGTAGGCACTAGGATTGTTTCTAGCTGTCCACAATTTTAAACAATGCTACTATAAACACCTATGTAAAATTTAAAAAATTTTCCTTATGCTAAGGAACTTGTATGATCATTTTTATAGCTTTTGTTACCTTTTACCAGATCACTCTCTGAAAATATTCAATGCAGAAAAAAGAAATCTTTTTTTTTTCTTTTTTTTTTTGTTTTTTGAGACCAAGTCTCGCTCTGTCGCCA